TTTTTTTTTTTTTTTTTTTTTTTTTTTTTTTTTTTTTTTTTTTTTTTTTTTTTTTTTTTTATAGTTACCTGCCGACACGTGTTGAGGTTGCGTGTTGATGATGAGCCTGAAAATAAATGGCTATCGTTAGTTTACGTGTGCGTGCATTATTCATGATTTTTTCAAAAAAGTGTCAACGAGCGGTTCTGCGACACTGTATTGTCAACGATGATAATTGTATTCGATTGGGTGTACTAACGATGAATTTGCGTTAGGCGATTTGGGCGACTGGGGCGTCGAGTTCTTTTTGATCGTGTAGGATCCCCGCTGGCTTTCGTTGGCCAATTTGTCGACTAGAGCCTCGAGTTCTGCAAAAACCTGCAACGAATTCACGATGCGTTAGCGTCAACGCGATCTAAAATCGGCACCATCGCGAGAAGGAACTCAACAAGGAGGAGAGGAAAAAAAAAAAAAAAAAAAAAAAAAAAAAAAAAAAAAAAAAAAAAATGAAAGGGATGGACGTAGGAATGCTCGGTCCTAATATAACGCACCTTGGCACTCTCGGTATGGAAGACCTGCTCGGCCGAGAATAGCGTCTGTAGATTGGTGACGAGGAACAAGACGCGCGAGTCGTAGAGGGCGGGCAACTCGTCGTGCAGCTCGGAGTTGAGGAGCTCGTAGGTACGCTTGGCCTCCTCGAGGCGCTCCTTGCCCTGCGTCACCTTCAGCTCGTCCCTCTTTTTCGGGTTGCACTGGAGCGCCTGGAAACTGTGCCTCTGGCTGTCGTAGTCCACCAGTTTGCGGCCGCGTTTTTCGATCTTTTTCTGCAAATGCCGTCGTTGTCACATTCATTTTTTTTTTTTTTTTTCATACGGGCCATCCGATACCGTCCACACGAATTGAATACGTATATATATACTCGATTCGTGCGTTGGTCGTACAGCGCGAGAGTAGGAGACGAGAGCCTACATTGTAGCGCATACCGATCCGATCCGGATTTAGAAAAGTCAAGAGCGGGTCCTCCTCGGGGTTAACGACCATTCATTAGATTATACGTACACGTACGCTACTCGGCACCGCAAAGCTGATGGGCACAAGTGCTCATTACTTCTTTTCTTTTTTTTTTTTTTTTCATTGTTTTATTGAAATTTACTCAATACCGAACTATATATTTTTCGTGATCGGATCATAACGCGATCGCAGATCATACACGTTTGTGTAAACATTATACACAGCAGGTGTCTTACACAACTCAATTCATACGTAGAAATCGGAATGCGGTAGGTGCCGGAGGTATAAGTATATCTCGTAATATACATTCCATCAAAAAGTTAACATTGTGTATCTTTGAGTATGAATTCAATTTTTGCTGCCGTATTTAAAGAATTTTTGCGTATTTTGAGAGTTATGGTATATAATGAAAAAGTAAAAAAATTGTCGGTAACCCCTCACATGGGCTCACAAAATGTGGGTCACCCACTTGTTACACGTAAAAATAGGGGAGATAAAAGAAAAGAAATTTCGTAATTTGATAAATTTAAGTAATAAACAGTTGGTTTACCCGCATTTCTGGAAACTGGCTCTGATACGTGTTGAGGGGCACAAGGACCTGGTCGCCGAGTTTGTGGGCAAAGTCCTGCCAGAGCATGTCGAGGTTCTGTGCCTGCACGTACAACAGATCGTGGCCGGTCCATTGGCTCTCGTATACCTCGTTCATCGCCTCCATGAGCGACTTTGAGGCCAACTGGACGGCTGTAACAATCGTCACGCGGACAATTAAGACCAAGTGGCTTGTTGGTTTTTTTTTCTCTTCTTCAATTGAACAACTTAATTATCGCCACAAAGTGGAAGAACAAGAGCGGCGACGACAAAATTATATCTTTTTCACGTACCGATCGCGGGTGGTAAAAGGGATCACGGATCGAGTGCCGCACAAGAATTTCGTCACTTCTCATTCTTTTCATGCAAAAATTGTAATAACTCAAATGCTTATTTTGGTATATTATATACGTCGAATGAAACGTCTCATCGAGCGGAATCGAAAATTTTTTAAAACAACACAAGTTTCACCTCATCCGGAGTTACCTATATACATATAATACGTATACCGAGTAGTGAACTGCTTAGAATTGAAAAGAAAAATTGGCTACTTTAATTGGATTACACAAGAGTTGGATAACGCAGATTTTTTTCATGCCGGCTCAGCTCGTCCTCTGCATCTTATTTTTCAAAACACACACCGAGGCATAAAATATAATATGAACGAAAGAACAACGCTGACGCGTATCATGTTATAACACTGGCTTCTTTTTTTTTCTCCATGCAGCCTTGAAACAAAGCTACGAGAGCTTTCCTAAGTACCGCGCGTTACACAACACCGCAACTTTTCTCCTTGTTACCCTTCGGTGCTCGAGTATCCACTTAAACTTTTACTCGCAGTGAGCATTTTTTTTTTTTCCTCCTATGACTTGTGAGCGTTTCATTTTCACCAGTTAACCGGGACACATGCGTGTATAATGTACGCGCCGAGCTTTGGGCAAAAAATCGCGAGCAGCGGATTCCAACGGAGCACGTTGGAAGGCAGAGGGGAACGTATATTATAATGTACATAAGTAGGTACATAGCAGTGACCCGATTCGATCTCCGGAAGGTTTTCGCGAGTGCGCTTGTGCGGGTATAAGGTCGAAGCGTGCCTTGACGCTCGGTGTTTGTATTATTCGACGGACGGAGCTTCAGTGCCCGTTTTCTGAAACAAACAGTCGATCGTGCGACATCGGGAAAAAAAAAAAAAAAAAAAAGCGGAGACAAATCACACACTTTTCGCTCCAAGCACGAGACTCTGCATTTCGCGTTAAGCGCCAAAAAAAAAAAAAAAAAAAAAAACCAAGCAAGTAGGTACTCTGCGATTGCGGACACGTCGGCAACACAAGTTTCTCCTCTGGACTCGACAGCGCGAAACTATACAGGTATCTTATACTGCTCAGCGTGACACCCAATCTCTATTTCGAACTATAGGAAAAGAAAAGACTATTTTCGTGTTATCGCGTCTTTACTGCAACACACTTGTACTTGGTCGAGAGTTTGATGTCGCGTCGAGCTTACCGATCCGCGTGCCAGGAAAAATGGGCCATTTTTTTGTTTACCATCAAGTATACAGAGAGGGAGGAAACGAAAATTAGTGAAAAAAATTGGAGTAAAAAAAAAAGAAAGAAGGGTAAAAAAAACGCAGCGGGATCGGCACGCTCTCGCCTCTTTCCGCGATTCTGTTTGGCTCGCGAGTGAGTATCGGATCAGGGGGAGGAGGGGGGGAGAGAGGCATTCCGCGTGCGAGCTGCAGGCTGCACTTTCCCGACCCACTTCTCTTCTTTGCTTGGCGTCGCGCCGACGTAAACCAATGTACATATATATATATATAATATATGTATTACAGTAGAGTATTGTGTGTATGTGTGTATGCGCGTATGTATAAGGATGAAGTATGGATATGTGGGCAAGTACAAGGTGGCGCAAAAGTGCGTTCACCTGTACCTATCTACCTACACCGGTATACGCAGATACACCACAATGTGATTCAGCATGCATGTGTGCAAGTATACATATATATATATGATATAGCGGCAGGCAGCAGCAGTCGAACTCGAGCCAAGATGTAAGAGTAAGTCTTCCTCTCTCTTTTTCGTTATATAAAAGCTCCGTTAAGCGCCGGCCCGGTACGCGTATACATCATATTATATACACGTAGGTATGTGTATATATACCTATCTATCGATGCCTCGTTATTGTTACACCTGTATAGGTATAGGTACATACATACGTATACGTATAATATGTGTGTATTTGGGTATGTGCGTTGTCTTACGGAGGACGGGTTCTCTATACGGTTATTGGGATGTTACGAGTAAACGAAGTATTTTCGTCGAGATCGAGGTTTCAGCGCCACCCGAGAGAGGGAAACATTTTTTGTGAAAAAGCTCAAAGTTCGAGTAAAAAGGGGGTGCAGATCGACTCTGCAACCACCATCATCTCGTCGAGGTTTAGGGTGCGCCCAATCGATTCACAAACCACATGAACGAAATAACATGAAATCGGTAAATAAAGAGATTTTTCGGACGGACGCGAGAGCTGGCGATCGGAGCCATCGATTAGCCACGGTGCTATTTTAACTCGAGCCTCGGTTGTATATAATTATACATCGAGGGGTTGAGTATAACGAGTTATTCCTTTAAGGGGGAGAAACGCGTGTCCTGATGACGCGCAGCTATTACCCGCGATATATAAATCGCACCGGGTCCAACGAACGAAAGCTCGCGATCTCGATTCGATCATCGATCGTTCCCCCTTTGATGAACGTCTCAGTAAGAACTGTAGACATCGGGTGTGGGTGGGTGAGGAAAACATATATATTTTCCGCAGCGTACAACATCTACGTTGTACGGACACACACACACAGAGACTCGGACGGGCTCGCGAGAGTCACGTTCCAGTTTAATTTCCAAAAGGGGGTCACGCGGGCGGAGGGAGGTTGACGCAACTCTCGGAGCCTGGCACACCTAGCTCTTTCTCTCGGACTCGGACGTCCATCCGACGCATACATACGGCACACGCACACGGCTATGGTCGACTCGCGGCGTCTTCTTCGCGCGACCCGCGCTTTTATACGCATGTATGTATGTACATGAAACAACACTCGAGTTCCACTTTGAAACGAGCTGCTGCCACATATTGTATACCTATACCACATGGTCAGCGACGACTGAGGCTATGTTGGTTTTCAAAGTATCTGGTATATTATACCTACATGTAGGGAGAAACTTACGTACACCCATTGAAGCCGCCAATTTCCCGAGAAAGAGATAGGAAGCGCCGAGAGAGAGAGAGAGAGAGAGAGAGTAGGTATCGAACAATTGCCACACTTGCAAGAGTGACCGGATGTAAAATAATTTTTTTTATTCCAAAATTGTGTGACAATATGTTGGATGGAATTGATTGTGGATCAATTTTATTGTTCATCGAGCATATGTAACAACAATGGCTTTTGCCAACCAATTGAAATTGGAACGGTAGACTTGGATTAACAGCGAGAGGGTAGACGAGTGGCCGAGTTTGTGGTGTTTTCGGCCTCTCGGCTGGGAAAACGTGCCACTAGCCGCGCTACCCATCTCTTTATAAATAGAAAAGTGCCCGCTACGAGACACCGAAGAGACGCGACGTAGGTATACTGTTATTCTTGCTGTTATTAAGGTAAAAGTCGTGCGGGTTCTTGCTTATTTCGTTAAATGCTTGTACATCCCACTATCAGCATCATTATACTCGTATCTATAATATGTATAATATACGAGTGAGGACAATAATAATAATAATAATAATATCGGGTAAATATATATATGTACCAAAGTATAGAGTTGGAGATGCTGGGAGGAAAGAACATAATAAAGATTACAAGGATTGGAATACAATGTAATTACCTCGGATGCACCTGATGTAGTTGTTGAATTCCTTTTGCAGTCTGTTGGCGGCGTTCTGTTGCTTGTTGAAGTTTTGCATGTGCTCGTCCAGTATGTCGTCCGCTGTTCTGTCCACCTTGCCCAGGTTCTGTAGAAACTGAAAGATGAAAAGCAGCTCTCAATATCGGTGACATTCATTAAAATTTCGTATTTTTTAACCCCTTCTCCCTATCGTAAATACATCACTATTTATATGTATGTTTACTTGTATATGTTCGTTCAACCAAAGTACACGTCTAAATTAAATTGAATGACAAAAAGAAAAAGGCATTGGTTCACGTGTATGGTATACGTCCTGTGAGGAGTGGCACCCGAGCGGGGGAGCACCACTTCCCAGGACATTGTGCCATGAAAATGCTCTCACACGTTTTTTTCGCATGTATACTCCACGCGTGTATGACACTTCGACACCAGGTTGTACCGCGTGTATAGGAGAGATAAAGGTTAACGTCTTTTTGCGTAGGAGGCGTCCACGCGCGCGTGTCTGCAGCCACGATCGACCGATCGCCCGGCTGCGAGGGCACATTCGTTACGGATCGTTACGTGAGCGCGTGGGCGAATTGAGAAGTGGAGGAAAATAATAATAATAATAACAAAAAGAGAAACCACACGTGCGTGTGTTGATGTTGCACGAGGGCTCGGTATTACTCATGAGTGGATCATTTTTTTTTTTTTTTTTTTTTTTTTTGCGGGACAGATGTTTTACATTAAAAGCATTACTTTTGCGCAAGTCTATACATACAAAGGAGCAGCTTAATTTTTTTTTTTTAGTTCTTGACAAACTCCATAGAGTGTAATAGATAACAATATATTTGGTAACAATAAGCGCAGATAACGACGTTGACTTTAATAGGGGGAAAAAAAATGAAAAAAATTTCGTCGAAAAATAATTTTTCATGAGAGTTAACTTTAAATTTATGGTACGATCAAAGTATGTATAAAAAATATATATACGTACGGTTTGGGTACGTGTGCACGTGTGAAAGTATCATTCGAAAATATTCAAATGAAATAAATTTCAAGCATCTCGCGAGCACCGCATGTACAGTTTCGAAAAGTAGAATCGTCGGGGGGATTCTTTAGCTTTTAGGAATTTATACGAGATATCTATCGAGGGATAGCCATACAGACGAGTTTCCAAGATTTTATTGCGTACGTTCCAAGGGAACACGTAAAATTGTGACTTGGCGTTACAGTATGAATACATCTGAGCAGTAAGAAAATGTAAAAAAAAAAAAAAAACTTCGATAAATCAAATTGTTGCTCGACAAGATATGCAACTTTGGCAAGCAAACCGTTTTTCCTTCAAGTTTTCATTGTGTTCACAAAAATATAGATAAAGATTGATAGAGAAAGAGAGAGAGAGAGAGAACGGATCAGCACAAGCAAAGTCGAGAAGTTGGCGAAGAAAAGCAAGTACATAGATGCATACAACACGAAGAGCGAACAAGTAACTATATTCCGGATTGTTTCGCAAGAAAATCTCTTATTTATACCTATCCTACTTGAACGTTCATTCACACGCGTTGCGCAATACAAATATGCGTATAGTATATATAACCAAAGAGTACATTGACGCGCGTAGTATTTTCTCACTCGTTCAACTATATATTAACATACTGTGTATATATATTACGTGCACAAATCATGATGGGTATACCTATATGTATAATACATATAATATGCAGCGAGTACGTAATACACATAAGCACGAGAGCGAACGTTTTCATTAAAGGCTCGACGTGAAAGTCACGGCAATGCCATAGTTATAAAGTAAAATATCCTTCATGGGGTAGCACCAGCTGTGGGACTCCCAAAAGTTTACTCGCTGCGTTGTACAGTTACTTTTACTTTTACACGGATAATACCGTAAAGATGCATTAATTTTTTTATTATATTTGATAGTCACTTTTATTGTGACGATCGGAGAAAGTGTACATACCTATGAAAAATTAAAATTCAACGATACAATTATTTTCGCGAATAGGGCCCTTTTAATATTGAGTGCTTATAAGATAAGCGACAAAATGGTAAATGGCACGTGGTTTTCTCAACAAATTTTCTTGCTGGCACAGAATTGCTCCAGCCCCTTCCGAAGCTTGTTGTATCTCAGTTTTGTAAATATTAACAAAATTTTCAACAAATGAGCGACAAATTGTCCATATATATTTAGAAGTAGGGGTTGTCACTTGGTGCTGGTAGCTTAATGTACACGTTAATATAAATGTTTGACAAGTGTTTTCTGTACTGCACGCGTGTTAGATAATCACATTATAAACTGACGGATCAATAAACTGAAAGGCATCGGATACAATCAAGGAAACTGTATTACTTCCAGAGTCATTTCTGTACTCGATTTCATCTATATAGCGTTATCTTGCGCACAATTTTCGCGCGTCAGTTACCAGCGTTGAGCTGAACTACGTCTTTTTTTCGTCCTTAAAAACTCACCGTGTAAGCAGAGCTACGTAATAAGGGTACGAGAAAAAAAAAGAAGAACTCATTGGCACAGTTTCCACGAGCCGTGAGTGAAAAAAAATGCCGGAAGAAACGGCACCTTAATTCACGTTTGCAGGTGATGGTGAAAAAAAAAAATGTACGACCTCCCTGGATATACACACATAATATAAAATGCAGACAATAACCCTTTTTTTTCTTGACTTCTCGGTTATACATATATGTATATACGTGCAAGTACAAGGTCACGGCCCTCGTGTGTACGTACGTAAGAGTATGGGATGCGAGAAAAAAAAATCCGCGCGTGTACACTACACTGTACAGTTAATTTTCAAGTTTTTTTTTTTTTTTTCTTCATTATTACCATCCGTTCTTTTATTTTTCCAAAACTATTGTATCAATATTATTAATTTCTCATCTCAACAGCAGAAGCAAAGGATCTCGCGTGTATGGGTATAAGATTCAAGTATGTTCTCAAAGAGTGAGTGCATTAAATTTAAACACACACACAGCGGGGGACGAGAGTGCCAAAAGGAGAGCCACGGCGAATAAGATAAGGAGGAGGCTGCCGCGTTAGCGCGGTTGTAAATCATACAGCTGCCGTCCGTGTGTACATGTGTGGCTCGCAAACGGTTCTCTATTGTATATATACGCCTGTACGTGCATGCTTTGCTTTTCATCTAGAAATAGACGTTTCAACCGTATATTACATGTATGTGTATATTTTATACCTACGTTTTACTCGTTGGAAGAGGAGTATAAGTGCACGTACCTATATGCACCGGGACTATTTCAAAGTCGTCGTTTCATCGCGCTCCTGCTTCGCTGCAGTGCTTGCATGTACTTTTTGTATACCTGGATAATAACAATATGCCCGAAGCTATAAAAAAAAAAAAAAAAAAAAAAAAAAACAGGTGTTGGTGCTCATGCGACTATACAGTAGCCGATATGGAATCTCATCCATTTTTGTTCACACATCTTTTGGGATTAGGGGAGAGCTCGTCGCTGATATAATATGTATATAAAAACTCCCCTTGCTTAATAATCAACGCAGCCTCTAGCTTGTTGCACGCGCGTACGAAAGTGCACTCTGCAGAGTGGATGGGCGGCGCGCTTTCTGTTATCACATCACATCATTATCATCATCACAAACAGAGTACAGTTATACGTGGGGCAATAAGGTGTACTTGCATTTTCAAATTTTCGCGGATCATGTATGCAACTGCGATTGGGCGACCAGGGATGTTTATATTATATGCATTGTCTCAGATTGTTGGCGCCTGTATCCTATATGTATATGAATTACATGAAAAGTTTGTCACGTAACAGCCATGTATTTATTGTCGTATCAATCGTTTTAAAAAAAAAGCCACGATAAATCTATGGGCTCTGGTTGAACGTAATTTCAACTCGCGCGACTAACAAGTGTATCGCGCGCCCGAGAATCTACCTGCTCGTGGATCTTGGATCGGAGGAAGGTAGGGGCAGCGCTGGAGATGGTATGGAGATCCGTTACTTTGGCCACGACCTTCCGCGGCTTCCGCCCGTGTGGTGCCGTACACGTACTGGCACACACTCGTATATATATACATATACGTGCGCGATGGGCGCTTTGCATTCATTCACGGTTCGGCCGTGCAAGAGGGGTAAACATGCACTCGCGCAAATTATCATAGCCCGAGAACGCCCCTGATGCAGAATAGGAGTGTGATTTCGCGCTGCGTTGCACCTTTTGCCGACCAAACCTGTGCACGTACTTACATTATAATTATTATTATGTGGCCAACGCAATGTGAGCGAGGGCGCGGGCAGTGCCATGTATAATAATATATATTTATACACTCTGCATCACCATCACCTGGATGGCACGTGTCTATATGGGCACTCTTCCGTGCAATGACGACTCTGGCGTAATAATGTGATCCACGGCCTGTGGTTTGCGTATGTATATACCTATATTTACGTGCAGGGAGAGAGAGAGGGAGAAAGGAAGCGTCCCCCGTGTTTGTTTGCCCACGCGTGTAACATTACGTCAATGGTTACCGCGAAAAGCGCCTGACTATTCGCTCTTGATCTTTTATTGTTGTATATAGGAGACAAGCTCCTGTACTTATACGATGCGTATACATATTCACGTTATTTCACGGTGATGCGCCCACAACGACCTACCTTGTCATCATTTGTATATGTTTACGAATAGGGGAAAAGAAGACGGTATATGTCTCAAAAGTAAAGGTAAAGGTGCAACTTTTTTCTGGTTTTTCTTGCCATCATCTACTCTTGTAATTTTTATCTGTCATTACCGTAGTTAATACAGTTTAAAATCTAATAAAGACTTAATCCATCGCTTTTAATCCATTTTGTTGTATCAGAGGAAACAGTTCTGATATACCGTTTACCTGCGATGCCTATTAACCGTTACACACGCGCACATGTCTGTCCAAAGGGCAATTAAATCGCACACACACCACGTATGACGCCCCTGTACACTTGAATCACTTAACGAAACAGTAAAACGAGCTAAAGCTTGAAATTTGATTGATCACTGGCCCATGTACTCGCATGTACTTATACCAAAATGGCAATAAACACGAACGTATACTTTTTACGACCCGTTTTGCGCATACCTGCGTACACGTT